TACTGGGGATGTGCCCGCAACTCGGGTACATGCCCCCGACCGGAACCGAACCTGGGACCCTTCAGTCCGCAGACCGACGCTCTACCACTGAGCCAAACCGGTTTCGGCTCCCTTTTTTTTTTTTTTTTTTTTAAATCAACTTTATTGAGATGTGCTTTCTATACAACAGAAGTACATAGTTGGAAGAGTTTCTGTGTTTTTAAATATATTTTTTACTATTGATTTCAGAGAGGAAGGGAGAGGGAGAGAGAGATAGAAACATCAATGATGAGAGAGAATCATTGATTGGCTGCCTCCTGCACACCCCCCACTGGGGATTGAGCTCGAAATCTGGGCATATGCCCTGACTGGGAATCGAACCTGTGATCTCTTGGTTCCTGGGTCCACGCTCAACCGCTGAGCCACATCCGGCTGGGCTGGTGTCATAATCTCTTGAATGCCGTGGGCTCGCCCAGCTCTGGTGCTGATGAACTGGCCCCGGAAGCCCCTTGGCTCCTGGGTGAACCCCATGTAGGGCCATCCAAACGCGGTTGTCTGCAACTGATTTTAATAGAAAAATAAATCAGATCCTTGTCCCCTGGGGACAAATGTGATGGGTGTGTTAATTTCATTAACAAGAGTGCAGCCAACCAGAAAAGTGAATAAAATCAGCTTTATGCAGCTTAAACACTGACATTTGAAACAAATCATTATTGCATTAGCTGTCACATTGGTAACTCTAGAATCTAAGGGAAAAACATATTATGGATGTTTTCATAAACCTTTGCAAATGCACTGATAAGATAATTTATGATCGTTTGGAAATGTGGTTGGGTCCTGGTGAATATCTGCTCTCTAAATAAGGCTCCCTGTTGCCCCAGGCACATTTGACACCCCTGTGCCATTCCCACTCCTAACCCCCATCCTTCACGATGGAGTCAGCGGAGGCTCTTGTATTTGTTTATTTATTTTTAATTTCTTAAATACATTTTTAAAATATATTTTATTGATTTTTTTTGCAGATAGGAAGAGAGAGGGATAGAGAGTTAGAAACATCGATGAGAGAGAATCATCGATCAGCCGCTTCTTGCACACCCCCCACTGGGGATGTGCCCGCAACCAAGGTACATGCCCCTGACCGGAATCGAACCCGGGACCTTTCAGTCACAGACTGACGCTCTATCCATTGAGCCAAACTGATTTCGGCTAGATATATTTTTATTGATTTCAGAAAGGAAGAGAGAGAGATAGAAACATCAATGATGAGAAAGAATCATCGATTGGCTGCCTCCTGCACACCCACTCTTGGGGATCAAGCCCATCACCCTGGTATGTGTCCTTGACCGGAATTGAACCTTGGACCCCTCAGTCCGCAGGCCGATGCTCTATCCACTGAGTCAAAGCAGCCAGGGCTGGAGGCACAAACCTGATGAGCATGGGGTCACTTCTTCACTCTGGCCTGCCCCTGCCCTTGGGTGGAAGACTTGGTGCCATGACAGACTCATCTGAAATGTGCGGCAGGTCAGAGGCTGGTGCTGCCGAGCCCTGAGGGTCAGGTAGCATCAGTTTTCCAACTTTATTTTCTCCTTTAACACTGTGCTGGCTATTTTGGGTGTGTTTTGTTTTTTTTTGTTTGTTTTTTTTTTAATATGTATATATAACTTTAATTTCTCTGGTAATAGTTCTTATCTCTTCACTCACCAAGACAGTAATTATTTAATGCATTTCCTTTCATGTTTTCTTTAAAAACATATTTAAATAGTTGCTTTAAAATCTCTGTCTGATATGTTCAACATCTGTGCCATTCTGGGCCAGTTTCTATAAACTGCTTTTTCTCCCCCTTGCCTCTGGGTCATTATATTTCTGCTTCTTTGCATGTCTAATAATGTTCTGTTTGTTTGCGGACGTTATAAATAATAGGGGATAGAGACTCCGAATTCTATTCTTCTGCTTTGAAGAGGGTTCAGTTTTGTTCTCGCAGGCAGCGCAGTCACCGGCTGTTAACCTTGAACTTGTGTGGGTTTGGTTTTGTGCTCGTTAGGGCAGGCCTGTGGGAAGCCCAGAGTCATTCCCAGGTCCCTCTAATGTGGTGGGACCAACTTCCAAACTCGTAGGGCCTGGTTTCCAGCCTCGTCACAGTCAGACTGGAGTGGGCCCTGCCCCAAGGTGTAATCCTCATTCTTGAAGCCAGGCCATGTGGCATCTCAGGGAGTATTAGGTTGTCATGCAGTCTCTGCACTCCCATCCCGGCTGGACCTGAGCTCACTGCTGGTCTCTAGTATCTGTAATGTTTAACCCTGTAGCAGCCACTGTCTGGTTAAACCTGGGGTGGAACCCTGAGCATGCAGCCTCACACAGAAGCCCTGGGACCACACACGCCCTTCAGTCCCTCCACCAGCCCCCTCTGTGCCGCTGCCATGCCCCAGATTTCAGCTGCTCCAGCTGCCCCACACTCTGACCTTCACAAAGCTGCTGGGCTCCACACTGCCCTTTCGTCCTGTTGTCCGGTATCTGTTCATAGTTGCTTAGTATACTTTGTCCAGTTTGGTGGTTGTTTACAGCAAGAGGATGGTCTAGTACCAGTTACTCTCTCCGAGCCACTTTTCTATTATTCTTGCTTAAGATAAGACTGTTTATTTGTTGATCGATATTCATAGCTCTTTATTATGACCTGTATCCTTTATCATTGTTAAGTATGGTACATAGTCTGACACAATGCATTTGACTCTGAATTCAGCCTTTCTTAATGAGATTGGACCCCTGTTTCTCTTGTCTGTAGTCTCCTGGTATATCTTTGCCAGTCATTGTGTGGGCATCTCTCTCATACGTAGCACAGATTTGTATTTAGCTTTGGATTCCAATCATAAATCTGTTTTTTAATCCTTTGTGGAGAAATATAAGAGCAAATGCTAGGAAACAAAGGTACCTAAAGTCTAGGGTGGTGGGGCAGAGGAAATAATGTTTTGTCTTTATTTACTGAGTATGAGATAATCTCTCAAACAGGAGGTTGACTAGTGTATCTTTTCCCCAAATGACAAAAGATGGGCCACTCGGTTAACTTAGCATCCGCTCTCTCTTGCTACCCTCCCCTATTCCTGTTAGTTACATAACCGGTTCTATAGCCATAATCCCCGTATTGTTTTAGACCTAATCCTACAGGTAAGTCGATTCTGTGTTCTCTGCCAGGCCATTTGCTGCAGTTCTCCAGTTCTCTTAGGAGACTGGGGTTAATCTCCTAGTCCTTCAGGAAGAGCTTATGGGAGCATATAGCTTTGAGTTCTTACATGTTCAAAAATGCTTGTCTATTGTCTTTATATTTGAGCGGCAGTTTGGCTGGATATAAAATTCTTGGGCCCTGCCTCCTCCACAGTCTCTGCAGGCATCACTCTGCCGTCTGCTAGCACGGATCGTTCTGAGGACAGCTAACCCTCACCCTCCTAAACCATCTTGCTCTGTTTGCCTGACTACCAAAGGGACTTTTCAGCCGCCACGTCCAATGATTTGACTAGACCAGTGGTCGGCAAACTCATTAGTCAGCAGAGCCAGATATCAACAGTACAACGATTGAAATTCCTTTTGAGAGCCAATTTTTTAAAACTTAAACTAACTAGGTAGGTACATTGTTATAAAATTAATTAGGGCACTCGTAAGCTGGCCTTTGCTAAAAACTCAAGGGGCCAAAGAGCTGCATGTGGCTCGCGAGCTGCAGTTTGCCCACCACTGGACTAGACATAGCTTAACGCTGACTATTCCCTTTGCTCCCTTTCATTTTGCTCACTTTGTGCCATTCCTGCCTTCACTGTCTTGTTACGAGGCTCCGGGTCTCGTCTGCTGTGTGTGACTCCCCTTCATGTCTCTGCATTTTCCTTCCCCTCTTCCTGTGCACTGCCAGTGTGTCTCCTCCCCACTGTGCTGCTTTGGGTTTTTGTTTTATAGAGGTGACGGCTTCATGAAGTTTTGTTTGTGAATTTAAGGCTGAAATGCTTGCTGACGTTTTCTATTGGCTTCCAAGGAATGTCGCCATTCCTTTTTCTGCATTTCTTTCCTTCGTTTCCCTTGTGCTATCTTTGAAGAAATGAGTGCTTCTTATCTAGGTCACTGTGGCCCCATTGGGAAGTGAAGCAGGAGAAAAGGGGGTGCTGGTGAGGAGCGGCGAGGTGACTCCTCAGTGCCAGGTGCCTCTGGCATTTAGTGTTGGGGGCACAGAGGTGCCAGGTGCCCTGCAGAGCTCAGCCCAGTCCTGTGTGACCCAGAGCAGCGTGACCCCAGGCAGCTCCGGGTGCCTGTCGGGGAGGGGTCGCCACCTGGCACTGAGGAGCGTGGGGGTGTCAGAGCCAGCGATGCCAGCCCTGATGGCTGCTCCACACAAACGGATGTGCCTGTGCAGCTCCTCGCTTTGTGCCAGCATCGCTTTCTTCTGGGACCCAGGCTGGGGACGGAGGTTTCCCTGCCTTCGCCACGCCCTGCAGCCTGTGGTCAGTGTTGTCCTCCATTCGTCTCGCCCACGTACTGCACGTTCCCGCTCTTGGCCGCCTCCAACCCTCTCGCTTTTGAGGTCTCCCTCGCTCTCGGCTTTGCTGAAGATGGACTTGCGTTGGTTGGACTCCTGGTGCTTTGGGCGGGTGTGAGATTTCTCCGGAGGGAGAAATGCCGGCTTCGTGTTGCCGTCAGTGGACATGCTGCCACTCCCCTGGACACTGGGTGCAGCGGGGAGGCGCCCCACGATCCCCTCACTGCGGGTTTTCCTGAGGGCCTGATGGGAGGGACTCAGAGCCCCCAAATTCCTAGCTCTGTGGGGCCTCGGGACTCTCTGAGGGAAGGTCCGAAGTCCTCCCTCCTAACCCCAGGGCGTGGCTAAGGGCAGGGCTCAGGCCGCTTCCCGCAGGAAGGGGTAAGTTTGCGAACAGCCCCCGTGTCCACCGGCTCAGCTGCGGGGCGGGCTGGGCGGATGTTCGCGACGGGAGCCTCCGTGCCGGGTCAGAAGCCCCTGACGACTCTCTGCCTCCCTCTCGATGCTGCAGGTGCGCGGGACTCACCAGCTCACCAACCCCGGGATCTCCGACGTCAAGATCCGGCCCGACCGGAAGCTCCTGGCCACGGCGGGCTGGGACCACCGTGTCCGCGTGTTCCACTGGCGGACGATGAAGCCGCTGGCCGTGCTGGCCTTCCACAGCGCCGCGGTCCACTGCGTGGCCTTCGCCGCGGACGGCCTGCTGGCCGCGGGGTCCAAGGACCGTCGCATCAGCGTCTGGTCGCTCTACCCACCCTCGTGACGGGCCCGCTCCCTGTTCCGGACGCACAGAGGGCAGAGAGGTGCGGCCGCACTTAGGCCTGACCCGGGCCTGAGGAGGCCATGCTCAGGGCCCTGCGGACAGCAAGTCACCACTCCCCTTCCTCCTCCCGTCTCGAGAAGAGCGTGGTCTGCGGAGTCCTCGCTTTTTGCCCTCGGCTGTTTCCTCCTGTGAAATAGGGCATCTGTGCAGCCGTGACTCTGCAGTTCACAGGGTAACTGGGCAGACGCCTGGGTAAGAGGCCATGGGGAGCTTTACGGTCAAATGAAAGTTTCAGACTCGAGGTACGAATTCTCCAAGGCAAGCCCCCTCCCCCGCCACAGGGTCACAGCCAAGACCCTCCACTGGGCTGACGCTCAGCCTGTATCCACGCTGCACACTGAGTGTGGTCCCTGGGACCTGCCAACTCCATATGGCGCCTCACCCCAAGGACAGCGGGAGCTCAGTCTGAAGCCTGGAGAGCAGAAGGAAGTGACGAAGGAGGCCAGGCAGAGAGAGGGCGCTGAGGGGGGTGGCGAAGGCAGCTGGGCAGAGAGACCCCAAACGCAGGATTAGCGGGAGGAAGAGTGAGACCAGGGGTTGGCTCAGCCCATGTCCGGGGCGGCTTTGGGGCGGGGGGCACAGCAGCATGTGTGACAGGCCAGGCCCCGCAGCCAAGGCACAGTCCTCGCCTGCACCTCACACCCAGGGCAGCGGGAATTAGCAGCCAAATCAGGCGTTGCACCCACAGCCTCCGCAGGTCAGGCGTCATCCCTTAAAGCTGAATCGCTGATAGGGGAGAAGTACGACCCTCCAAACGGGGTAGGAGCTGGTAGATCCCGGCGAAGCCGGCGGCTCAGACCCCTTTGTTCTGCCGGCTTCTTTGCCAGAAGAGCCCCTTTGCCCGCCCTGAGCCGGTGAGCCCTCCTTTACCTGAGCACCTAGAACGGCCCCCACAGGCAGGGGCCCCTCAGCCCGCCCCTCTCTGCTTATAACCAGACGCAGGCCCGCAGGCCCAGGGCTGAGAGCAGAGTGTGACCCGTGAGGAGGAGGCTCTGCTCCAGGGGAGCTGGTCCTCCCCGCTTGGCAGGCGGAGGTCTGGCGCGCACGTGTGGGCCCAGGTGGCGGGAAGATGAGGCATCAGGCGAGTCCGCGGAGCAGGTCCGCCGGCAGATCTGCCTGAGGCCGCAGCGCCGGGAATCGGAAAGGCCTGAGGTCTCACGGGTCGTTTGAAACACGGCCCACAGGCAGGCACACACGTAGGACCGGAAGGCCAGACCGCCTGGGGCTCGCAGTGGGGGGGGTCTGAGGGCTTAGGGAGATTAAGGTGTTTAGGCGACTTAGCAAGGGAGACCCGCGGGAGGGCCCGGGGGGCGCGCCTGTCCCACGACCGTGGGGACCACGTCAGTGAGGCCTGGGCCCCTGGAAGGTCTGCACCGCCCGTCTCCCCGGGGCAGGAACTCCAGCGGGAGCTGCTGCCGCAGAGCAGGGACCTCTCGATGCGGGAGGCAGGGCTGTTGGTGGCGCTCAGGTGCGAGAGGCAGGTGGGCACGGCTGTCATGGCGCCTGGTGGGGGAGCAGGCACAGGCTGGTGATCGTGGTCCCTGGAAGAGGATGGAGGTCAGCCTGCTCCAGTCTGACTTGGTCCATGCGAGCAGAGGGTCGTTTCTAGGAAACAAAATCGGACCTGGGCTACCAAAACAGAGGCCCGGCCGCTCAGTCAGACCCAGGCCCCTGAGGAAAGACCCCACTGCCCTCCGCCCAGCCTCCCCCAGGGCCTCTGGCTGAGCCCAGGAGCTGAGCACCGTCCCGGAAGGCAGGCCTGGTCCTGAGCGATGGACCTCCCCGTGAGGGACTGGCCCCCCAGTTGGACAGAGGCGCTGCGGGAGATCTGGCACCTTACGGGGGAGCGGGGGACCACAGAGGCCCCAAGTGTCCCATAACCAGGCCACCGGGAAGCTGGGGACACTTCCAGAGGATTCCACAGCAGGAATGTCAGGGAGGAGTAGCTGTTTGGGCTGCAACGTGAGCCCCATGAGACGGGAGGGAAGCCGCCGGGTGAGCCATGCCCTGGGGCTCCTCCAGGGAGCCGCCAGGTCAGGGGCGACGGGGGGGCGACCTCACCAAGCCACAGCCCGGCCGCGGCTCCCGCAGGAGGCCACGCGCTGGGTGAGCCACTTCAGAACGCCCGTCCTCTGCCGCCTCTGCAGCAGAGGAGCCAGGTGTGTGTCCGTTTCAGCGTGAACCTCCCGCTGGCCCTGCCCACAGCCGGACTCACGAGCCTCGCACACCTCCCTGACCTGGTCCAGCAAAGCTGCCACGCCGTTTCCAGAGGCGCTGACCGCCGTGGCTGCTGCCAAAGAGCAAAGACCTGTCAGACGAGGCTCCACACCCACCGGCCTCGTGGAGGCAAAGCCGGGGAACACGGGCCAAAGGTGCTGGGGAGATGCCCCCGCAGGGAGGGGCGCCTCGTCAGTGTCCTGCGCCCCCTCCACGGTCCCGCTTGAACCCACTGCTGTGCTGGGCCCCCTGTGGTCTTCCCGCCTCAGCTTGGACTCCGAGGCGCCGGGCGCTGGGCTGGGCATTCAGGAGGCCGTGAAACTGGTCCCTGCAGAGGGACCGCCCCGCCCCTGTGAAGCCCATGTCGCCAGCTCCCCGAGAATCTCCATGACGCTGCCCTGTATTTACAGAGATACCACGGAGGTGTCACACAGACCAGGACGCGTGCGGTGCCTCCAGCGCCGGGGGCGCGTGTGGACTGCCGGCACCCCACGCCCAGAGACGGGGAAGAGCGGGTGCTGGTGACGCAGACCCGTGTGCGTCCCTGGCCCTTGTCTTGGTGCTGAAGACGCGAGCAGAGGCCCAGAGCGTCCCAGGCGGCTGGTGAGCAGTGTCCCGGGGACATCTTGTGGCCAAGCTCAGTGTACGGGGACCAAGCCAGGCCGTGAGCTCCCCGCCTGCCTCGGCTCCTCCGTGCAGAGCGGAGCCTGCACCGGGTTCCGGGCGGGTGAGGGCGCAGGGTCCGCAGCCCCCGAGGCTTCATGGGTGGCTGAGAATCCTGTTGACTCAGCTGAGCTGCCTAGAACAGAGTGACGCCAGCTTACCAGACACATCGGTGTCCGCAGTGGCGGGGCCTCCAGGTGGTCCTCGGGGCTCCTCCTCCGCACCCCCCGTGGGACCCGAGGCTTCGGAGCCCGGCCTCTGCATCCACAGGACCTGGGCAGCAGCAGGTGGCCACGGAGCTCCCACGCCGTGAGGCACAGGCCGTGTTCCAGACACCCAGCCCGGGGAGGACGCTTCACGTGGGCAAAGCCTCGGACGACCCTTGTCAGGCCTGAGCTGTGCGGGCAGCCAGCTGAGCTCCGGGGCCAGGGCTGCAGGGCCCTGCCATCTGCCCGCAGCCCCTCTTCTGCCTCGTGGCTTGCCGTGCACGGCCCTCACCGGCACCCCACGGCCCTCACCGGCACCCCACGGCCCTCACCGGCGTCCCACGGCCCTCACCGGCACCCCACGGCCCTCACCGGCACCCCACGGCCCTCGCCAGCGTCCCACGGCCCTCACCGGCGTCCCACGGCCCTCACCGGCACCCCACGGCCCTCACCGGCGTCCCACGGCCCTCACCGGCGTCCCACAGCCCTCACCGGCACCCCACGGCCCTCACCGGCACCCCACGGCCCTCACCAGCATCTCACCGGCACCCCACAGCCCTCACCGGCAACCCACGGCCCTCACCGGCATCCCACGGCCCTCACCGGCGTCCCACGGCCCTCACCGGCATCCCACGGCCCTCACCGGCGTCCCACGGCCTGTTGGGTTCTCCTCAGACAAGCCGGAGGCTGACGGCAGAGCAGGCAGTGACCAGGGACACAGCCTTTAGCATTCACCGTCTTTCCCTGTGCTTCCCGAGTGTCACAGATGGGCTCATGTCAGAAAGCCGCGTGCCCTGGAGACAGGCAGACGAGCCCGTGTGCGGCAGCGGGTGACCCGGGAAGGGCCTGCGGGGCAGCAGCCGGGATCCCTCGCTACGCCGGCTCGGCATCGGGCTTTGTGCTGACGTGCGGTGCGTGTCTTTGCACTCCTGACTGAGTGATGTTCAATCAGGTGTTTCCCACCTGCGTCTCTGCCAAGAAGCCACAGAACACCCTCTGCACAAAAGGACTGTTTGCACAAAGAGAAAACATTCCTCCAGGGGGTTCTTCAGAAACGCTTGATACTCAACTAGCTATAACTGCCCGGGAAAGCCTGGTGTTAAAGACGAGCTGGCACAGGAGAGGCCTTGCAGCCGAGCTCGCCGTGCACCTGTGCGCCGGTGCAGACGGGCCACCTCCCCGCCTGCAGCCCCCCATGCAGCCCGCACCCCGGCTCCCGCCCCGCCCCGCCTCTGCTCTGGTTTTCACATGTGTCGGGGCCAGCTCAGCCCTGCCTCCACTCTGCCGCCCAGGCCGGAGAGTGGCGTGTCCAGGAGGCCCGTTAGGAGCCGGGAGGAAGGAAGCACCTGGCCGGAAGGAGCCGAGCAAATGCAGAGGGCGAGGCCGCTGCAGCTGAGCAGGCCAGACACACACCTGACCCACCCAGACAGATGCCCGCCAAAAGCAGTTCCAAAGCCACGCCTGGGGATCCACGCGGAAAAGCATCTGAGTGGGAGGTGCACCCACGTGCCAAAGGCAGCAGGGTACGCCCACATGGTGCGTCAACTGAAAAAATGCAGTCAGCGCGCTCACGGCTTGCACCCAGCATGGGCACTGAGACCCTTGGGGCAAGTCCGGGAAGCACGCCCTGCGTGTCATCAGCCCTCATGCTTGCTCCAGGGCGTGTGGGACCTCGGCCCCGCAGAGCCACTGCCTGGCCCTTCACAGGAACGCGTGTTGGCCCTGCCTTAAAGGGTAGCTGCTTCCGGGGCACAGGCCGAGGTGAGGAATCGCTGCTGCCCCAAAGCTGGGTTGTGTTCAGAGGTGCCAGAAGCAGCACTGAGGGTCAAGGGGCCTCCCACACAGGCCTGGGACCTGGGACGAATGGGGGAGACTCTCATAATCCAAGAATTCTCATTGACACTCAAATAAGAAGTTACCAAAAAGCATACCAGGAAGGAAGGTATTGTGATGAGGTCAGCTGTGCCTGGAGGCTGCTATGGTCTGAATGTTTGTGTTCCCCCAAATCCATAGGAAGCCTGACCTTTTCCCCCTTCCCCCGCCCCCCCAGGTAATGGTATTAAGAGGTGGGGCCTTTGGGTCGTGAGGGTGGAGCCCTCAGGAATGGGATTAGTGCCCTAAAACGAGATTCCAGAGCAATTCCACCATCTGAGGACACAGAGAGAAGACGGCCATCTATGAGGCCCTCACCAACACGGAATCGCCCCTGAGCCGGGACTTCCCGCCTCCAGAACCGTGAGAAGTGTATTTCTGCTGTTCATAAGCCACCGACCAGCCTGGCATTTTGTTAGAGCAGCCTGAGACAAGATGCTTACATTTTTATTGTTTAATTTATTTTTTAAATTTAGTTTTTATTGAGGGAACACTGATTTATAGATTATATAAGTTTCAGGTGTGCGCCGCTATGATCGACATCTGAATGTGCTCCATCATGCCCCCCACCAAAGTCTAGTTTCCATCTGTCGCCATGCAATCGAGCCCTGTACCCATCTCACTTCGCTTGCTTTTTAAAGATGTGGAATGGTGAGTCATCGAGTCGTTTGCTCCACCCGGTTGTAGTTATCCATTGCTGCCTCAATAACCAGCCCAAACGTAGCCTCTGAGCACATGGGCCAGCAATCTGGAGGGGCTTGCCGGACTGTGGGCCCCCAAGAGGGCGGGCCACAGGGAGGACCGTCGATGCCAGCCCCTCAATCAAGAATGAGTGACAGTCAGCCCTAACTGGTGTGGCTCAGTGGGTAGAGAGTTGGCCTGCGGACTGAAGGGGCCCAGGTTCGATTCCAGTCAAGGGCATGTACCTCAGTTGTGGGCACATCCCCAAGAGCGGTGTTGCAGGAGGCAGCTGATCGATGCTTCTCTCTCATCGATGTTTCTAATTCTCTATCCTTCTCCCTTCCTCTCTGTAAAAAGTCAATAAAATATATTTAAAAAAAGAAAAGAAAGAAAAAAAAGAATGAGTGACATTCATCTTGATGAGCACAGACATCTGAGACTCCAGAGTGTGGGGAAGGAGCTGGGGGCAGCAACCGAGCTCCTGCCATCAGCAGGTGGGAGTGTCCGGCCACCCCTCCCTCCGGCCACGTACACGCAGCCCCACTCGGCCCTGCCGGGTGTGATAAAATGCTCGCCCGGAAGGTTGCTCATCTCAGCACACCAGGGTCTTATCTCCGAATAACAGGACATCGGGTCAGGACTTCGCACCTACAGGAAACTTAGCGAATCCCTCATCTCAGGGAGAGAAGCCAAGGGTCAGGAACTGAAAATAAAAATGAACGACGGGGCCCTGGTTACGAGCTCCCCAATCTGCAGGAAAGTGCTGCTCTGAAGAGAGGCTCAGGCTGAGGCCGGGCGGGCCCGCCTCGCTGGAAGGCAGCACCAGCCCCTCCAGAGGTGCCTGGCCACCCGATTGGCGGGTCGAGCCCTGGGGGTGCCGAGAACACCCCCAAGAAAGAACGGGTGTTTGTGTTCCCCTTTTAGAACCGCTTCTCAGACTGCGTGTGCGTCTGTCCTGAGATGTTAAGACATTTTTAGAAGTGATAGGTGAGGCTTGTCGTTTTTGTTAAATATTTAGAAGTGTTTTTGATGAATCTGCAACCAATGTTTAAACTTTGGGGTAATTTTACTTTGTTATAGCCATGAATTTGGATTTATCAACTGAGTTGGAGTGGGACTATATAGAGAATTATGTATTACACAGCATGCAATTTGTTCATCTTAAGAATTCATTGAACACTGGCTTCTTTCTTTTCTTTCTTTCTTTCTTTTTTTTTTTTTTTTAATTTCAACCACAGACCAAAGTGAAGGGGGAAACAACTATTCCAGGGTAGCCAGCACCCACTTCAACATTAAATAACTGGGGTATTAAAAAGTCAGCCCTGGCGCCCTGGCCCATGTGGCTCAGTTGGTTGAGCGTCATCCGTGCACCGAAAGGTTGCTGGTTCGATTCCGGTCAGGGCACGGGGCCAGGTTGGGAATTTGTTTCCCAGGTTCCAGGTCTGTGCTCCTGGGCAGTGGAGCTCACAGCTGCTCCTGCAGCACACGGGTGACAGCTCCAGATAAGAGAGGACAAAGCATTTTACCAAACACGTCGCTTTCTCCTTGTAGACGAGGCTGAGATCAAGTCTGAATGTGCGGATGGGCGGGAGTGCTGGCTCCGCTGGGGGCCCACAGCCACACGGGGGCCACTGAGGACAGCACACACCTCTCCCACCCACGACCATGGAACGTGCCATCGCTCTCACCTACTTGGAGAAGTAAAGAACAAAAACATGCTGCTTTGCTCGCAGAATAACATCCTAAACCATTCCCGGGACACCGTTCAGCGAGGTGAGGGGCCGACGGGGAGGAGGGGGAAAGAACAGACACCAGAAGCAAAGGCAGGTTCTTCCTGTGTGGAGCAGAGCGAAGCTCACTCTTCAGCAGATGGCTGTGTGAACGGTGACAGCCTCCTACCGCCCGCACGCTGGTCTGTTTTCTGCAGCTTCGCCTTCCAGATGCCGTGGACGGACCCGCAGAGGGCGCCGCCCGCAGAGCCCTGCCGTTCGCTCACCTGACGCCTCGCCATCCACTCCGCTCCTTCCTCTTCACGGCCGGGTCCTACCCTGAGGAAGGAGGAGCCACAGTGCCCACCCCCCACCTGCGGTGCGCCCCGCCTGGGTCCTGGTTCCGGCCACCCCCACTGCGCCTGACATTCGGGTGCAAGTCTCTGCTTCCCTTCCTTCCAAAGCTTCGCTCGGCCACCTGATCACGCACTGTTCTACGGTTTGGGCCCCGTGGTTGCCCCTGAGAAGCAGTTCCTCTCTCCCAGAGTCACCCCCAAATGTGGGAGACCCTGCCCGGCTGGTGTGGCTCAGTGGTTGAGCGAAGACCTATGAACCAGACAGTCATGTTCTATTCCCTGTCAGGCACATACCCCAGTTATTAACTCGATCCCCAGTAGGGGGCATGGAGGGGGCAGCCAGTCAGTGATTCTCTCGTCATTGATGCTTCTTTTCTCTCTCTCTCTCAGAAATCAATAAATATATATATATATTTTTTTAAATATGCGGGAGACCCCATTCCTGAGCAGTGGGTGGGGGGAGGTCAGACCCATCACCCACGTTGTCTTGCTTCTGAAGGACCTGCCCTGAGCCCCTCCCCCCCACAGCGAAGAGCCCGCCATGCCCTCTAGAGATGTACCACCTGATGGGGCGGGTCCAGGCTGTGTTCACCTGCAGCCGGGCAGCCTTCCTGTCCCCGGTGCCACCCCCACCTTCACTGCGATGGGGTCGCCCTGGGGAAGAATCTAGAAAACACCTGGGATACAGATGTGTTTGGAGATGGGGGACACATGGAGATAGGACTGGAGGCTAAGGTGTCACCGAGGAGCAGCGAGCAGGAGGCAGGGCGGGCGGCGTGTGTGTGTGTGTGTGTGTGTGTGTGTGTCCAGCCCGGAGGGCAGGGCCAAGGTGGGGGGTGAAGTTCGGGGCCTGGGGCCTGAGGACCCGGGAACTGATCTGCAAGGTCTCCCAGGCTGAGGTGCCAGCGCCCAGGTGGCTGGGGCTCCGGGCTCAGCAGGCACTCATAAATGCATGGCTGAAGGGGTGACCACATCTGGGCCCCATCCACCAGAAGGGGCACCGCACACTCCTGCTGGGGGGGGGGGGGGCATGGAAAAGGCCTCCGGTTACACTGTGAGCCCCTTCCGTAGAGACGTGTTCCCGCTTCAGAGATGCTGGGGGAGGCGGGGGGGAGGGGGGAAGGGGGGAAGAAGGGGATTAAGTGCTCACTCTGTGCAGTTGAACACTGATAGATAAAGGGCGCTGCAGTGCCCTCCCTCTGTATAATTAAAAAGATCATTTAATTACCGCGATTAAAACCTGAGCTTCTCCCCCACCTGAGCTGCTTTTAACCAAACACCCCGGGTCCCGCGGCTCCCACCGGCAGACCCGCCGGCGGTCACACAGACGCCGCGGCTCCGGGGCTCCGGCTCGGAGCCATCTGGTTTGAAGCAGTGCGACAAGCAGGAGAGGGAACCGAATCAAAGGCACGGCCGGGCATTTTTTTTTTTTTTTTTCAAATGCAGAAAACGTGTGGGGTAGACCAGGAGACCACCATCCCCCCCTCCCCTCTCGGGACTGGGTGCCACCACCTGGTCTCTGGCTGGACACAGAGGCGGCTTCGAGGGGTGAGGGCGGCGGCCGGGAGGAGGCCTGCGGGGTCAGGATGGGCAGACGCTTCAGATGCCTGCTCCCCTGCATTGAGGGGAAACCGAGGCACTGAGCCACAGAGCCAGCACGCCCATGCTCTCCCTCACACCTGGGTCCTGGCTGGGCTGCACTCCTGCCACCCCCGGAATCGCCCCCTCGGTCCTGGACGCAGCCCCTCGCCCCCACCTCCCGCCGCCCCCTGCACACGGCCGGCCGGTCTGCCCTCAGCAGCTGTGGCCCCGGGTCCGCGGTGCGCGGGCGCTTTGATCTGCAGCACACCTGGCGATCAGGGCCTCCCGCTCCGCCAGCCACAGTCATATGGGTCCCACACACACCGCGGGCCTCCCCAGCGGGAGGAAGGGGGGCTGGGGCTCCCCGGGGTGGAGGCTGGAGCCCTACAACCGCTAAGCTCCCCTCCTCCCCCTGCAACTGCAGGCTTCCGGCTCCCCTCGTTTCGTGGCCAAAGGTCAGCGCGTGGCCTCTGCACCCCAGTGCTCCCCGGGGGGGATGGCCACCAGCCTCCCCCAGAGGCCCATGCCCCCGTCTGCAGTGCCAGCCAGTGCCCGGCACGCTGCCTTCTCTGTCCCTCTGAAGGCGTGGGCGTCGCCAGCTTTACGTGATGGCCGTGCAAGGGAGGGGGCCGCCCAGAGCCTCTTCAAACCACCATGCGTGCGGGCAAGGCCCTGCGTCCTGTAGGGCCTCAGAGCGCCCACATCTCGGCTTTGGGAGACTCGGGTGCGAGGAGGCTGTGCTGTGAGCCCCAGGCGCCCGGACCCGGTGAGTCCTCCCAGGCGGGGGTGTGGGATGTCCTCCCCAGCAGGCGGAGCTCCCCAAGGCCCCTGGGGCGGAGTGGGTAAGGCACAGACGGAGGCTCCCCAGCCGAAGGCCGGTCTTCCTCCTCTGAGAACAGGAGCTGGGCTGCTGGGGGTCGTCCCGCCACCCCTCCGGGTCCTGGGGTTCCCTAGTCCCTCATGTGAGACCCGAAAGGGTGGAGGGGAATGGGCAGGCCCACCGCGCCTCGCTGTGCTTCACACATGGGGGGTCTGGTTTTCTTGAAGGGCTTCACGTGGCCAGGAGTCTGGGGTCCCTGGACCCGAAGGTCTCGGAGGTCCTTGCGAGTCCAAACGCCTGTTCTCCCAGGTCCATGGAGACAGGCAAAGGGCCTCTGGTCCGACCGGGGGGGTCCGGGGGAGGCGCTGTGGAGGCATCCAACAGCTTTGGGTGAGCCCGCGAGGGGCAGGGTGGGCGGGCAGGACCCCAAGCCCTGCACAGCACAGCGGGCACAGAAGGGGTAAGCCAGGCGTGGGTGCGGAGGCACCCTCAGGGAGGGGCACGGAAGCAAGGAGGAGTAGGACACAGGAAGTCAAGGACTGTCCAGGGGCAGATGCCGCCACGTCAGCCCCACAGCAGCAGCCAGACAGAACCTGCAGCGGGGGGCGCTCACCAACCACTCCCCTCAGGAGCGAATGACCAAGAGATGCCCGGTGCCTTTCTGAAGCGGGGAGCCTCCCGGAGAAGCTGGGTAACCCCAATGAGCCCTTCGTTCACCGCCCCCATCCCGGGGTGCAAGGCAGGGTGACAGCCCGGTAACCTGGGGAGGTGATGCGTGGCCCCACCCG